CCGGGGCCTACCTCAAAGGAGCGGGGTCGCGGCGCCGGCTAGCAGCGGGCCCCCTCCCGGTCCCCGGGCCCGGCAGCGCGGCGGCGGCTAGGTTGTGAGGAGGCGGGGAAGCGGGTGTCCGGCCCCCGCCATGGAGGGCATGGACGTGGACCTGGATCCCGAGCTGATGCAGAAGTTCAGCTGCCTGGGCACCACCGACAAGGACGTGCTCATCTCGGAGTTCCAGCGACTGCTCGGCTTCCAGCTCAACCCCGCCGGCTGCGCCTTCTTCCTGGACATGACCAACTGGTGAGCCGGCCCCGCCGCGCTAGCGCTGGCAACGGCCTCGGGGCCCCGAGGGAAGGGACACTGAGCCCGGGGCAGGGCGTGCCGGGCGGGCAGTGAGGGGCACCCCCTCCTGAGGCGGGGCGGGCGTGTGGGGGTGTCCTGGGGGCATGGGAAGAAATTTGGGGGCCAGGCTGCGCTAGAGAGGGCGTACGAAGGGAGTTGGGGACAGGAAGGACGGAAGGGATTGGGGGGGCGGGGTTCCTGGGGTTCTCCAGAGAACTAGGGGCCGAGGAACGTAGAAAGAGGGGAAAGGACTTGGAGCATTGAGGCATAGGGGTAGACCTAGGAAGAAGAGAGCTGTGGTGTTGGCTGAGAGTAGAAAGCACAGGAAATCTAGATTAGGGGAGTGGGTAAAAAGATTGGGGTTAGTAGTTAGGGGCTGAGGATGATAGGGATGTGGGAAAACTCCGGGGAGAATTAGATGCTATGGAAGGACTTGGGGCATGGGAGAGATTTAAGAAGAAGAACAGATAATTTGTGTGGTGTGTTTGTCCCCATCTGAGGACAGATAGGAAAAAGGGGAGAATATTATAGGGAAGAAGAAATGAGTATGATGAGGGAGATTACTTTCCGAAGAGAGTTGTGCCATGGAACAGTGGGATCTACTAATAGGGAGTGCTAGATCTGGGGCAGGGCCTGGGGAAACCTTAGGAAAAGTGAGGGAAAGGAGCTTATCTTGGGGCGAGGGAACTTTATGAAGGTAATGGAGCACTGGGGTTCAACTAGAGAACTTTAGGAAAGGCCTCCAGAACGCCACGAGTGGAGTGGAGCTTCTCTGAAAGAAAGTTGGGTTGGTAGATGTTTGGGAAAATGGAGAACTTGACTTAGGCTGGAACCAAGTGTTTTTGGCTTGGAGTCACCGTGTAGAAGTATGAATTGGGGCAGGAGACCATCATACTTAGAGTAAAGGAGTGTTCTTCAGGTTTGGAAGTAGCACTTGCTATTTTTGATAAGCAAGGCTTCCCCTTGTTCTCTGAGAAGGGATTCTTGAGTTCACTCAGGGTGAGGGATGGAGTGGAGACCATTAGACTGCCTTTCAAAAGATCTCAGGTGAAGCAACTAATGTTTCTTTGGTCAAAAAGCAGTGATGGAAGTGCCCTTTGCTCTCTGTGTTGGGCATACAGTCCCCTGACATGTGGAAGCTTGTTTCTCTTGGCATCACTTGCACAATCAACCTCCCCTTTATCCCATGTTCACTGAATGCCTCAGGGAGTGCCAGAAAAGAGACTGTAAGCCTAGTCTTTATCCTACTCCTCGCCTAGCCTTATCCTGGTTGCCCATCTTACTAAGGGAACTTTGTAGCTGTGGCTGCACCAAAGCTGATGTGTACATTTTTTTTTTTCTGTATAATATCAACTCAGGTCCTATTATCTTTAAAGTTGATTGCTATGGCAAGAGTAGAATTGAGTTTCTAGATGTTTAGAAAACTCTTTGAAGCGCTGGAAGCAGGAGATAGTCTTTAGAATTAAAGAAGCATTTGTGATCCCCACGTGTGTCTTTTACGTTGGGGATGATTTTGGGCAGGGATTGCAGCCTAAGTAGTTTCCTGAACACCTACCTGTGGTGTTTAAATAGTCAGAGTGACAGGGGTTATTGAACGTACTGAGAAGAGCTATCACTCTGGCAAAATTTAGAAGTAAAGCTGTATCTTGAGGGTTATTCTCTTGCCTGCCTTCTTCCCACCCCCAGCTCTTTTTTTTCCTTGTTTACACTCGTTCAGCATAGGAAACTTGGCATATTGTTGCTGCCAGTTTGGTTGGCCTTGTGAGACGTACCACTTAAACCCTGCCCTAATAAGTTTTTAGTTCTTTAGAGTCAGTCTTTATTAGTACAATTATTATAGCTTCAAAAACAGTGTAATGAGTTTCATGTGCTTGAGGTGTGTGTGTGTTTAATATCTGAGGTTATTTGATTTTAGGTATTGTGAAAGGTGAGAAATAGGTGAAGCCTCGTGTGGATAAGAATCAATAAAAATAATTACTGAATTAAAAAAATATTCTTCAAATTTTTTAATTAAATATCTTTAAACTCGAAGACACCATGAAATAGTGTGTATACTGATGATATGTTATAACTCTATAAAACAAGGTATGGTACATTTCTGAGCAAAGGAGTGAGCCATTAAAAAACATGTTCTGGTTTTAAAGCAAGTCACATCCATTGGAAATCAGTAGCCTCTTAGGAATCCAGGCAGTTAAGCGATAACTCAGCTTTAAGCTACATTACCTTATTTTTTGGTGGTAGAAAGCGTGTTTTTTGGTACTAGTTCATTATACAATGAAAAGTCATTTGTGAACTAAAAGCAGGAAGATTGATTGACTACGCTCTTCCAATTGTACCGTTAATTCTCACTTAAGATGAAGGCTTACAGAACAAAATAGTTTCTCATTTAACAGTTACTACAAATGTTGCCCT